CAGGGCAGACGGGGTCGCGATAAATGTGCCCTCGTTGCTGCCCGTCCTTTTCTTCACAGGGCAGACGGGGTCGCGATAAATGTGCCCTCGTTGCTGCCCGTCCTTTTCTTCACAGGGCAGACGGGGTCGCGATAAATGTGCCCTCGTTGCTGCCCGTCCTTTTCTTCACAGGGCAGACGGGGTCGCGATAAATGTGCCCTCGATGCTGCCCGTCCTTTTCTTCACAGGGCAGACGGGGTCGCGATAAATGTGCCCTCGATGCTGCCCGTCCTTTTCTTCACAGGGCAGACGGGGTCGCGATAAATGTGCCCTCGTTGCTGCCCGTCCTTTTCTTCACAGGGCAGACGGGGTCGCGATAAATGTGCCCTCGATGCTGCCCGTCCTTTTCTTCACAGGGCAGACGGGGTCGCGATAAATGTGCCCTCGTTGCTGCCCGTCCTTTTCTTCACAGGGCAGACGGGGTCGCGATAAATGTGCCCTCGATGCTGCCCGTCCTTTTCTTCACAGGGCAGACGGGGTCGCGATAAATGTGCCCTCGATGCTGCCCGTCCTTTTCTTCACAGGGCAGACGGGGTCGCGATAAATGTGCCCTCGTTGCTGCCCGTCCTTTTCTTCACAGGGCAGACGGGGTCGCGATAAATGTGCCCTCGATGCTGCCCGTCCTTTTCTTCACAGGGCAGACGGGGTCGCGATAAATGTGCCCTCGATGCTGCCCGTCCTTTTCTTCACAGGGCAGACGGGGTCGCGATAAATGTGCCCTCGATGCTGCCCGTCCTTTTCTTCACAGGGCAGACGGGGTCGCGATAAATGTGCCCTCGATGCTGCCCGTCCTTTTCTTCACAGGGCAGACGGGGTCGCGATAAATGTGCCCTCGTTGCTGCCCGTCCTTTTCTTCACAGGGCAGACGGGGTCGCGATAAATGTGCCCTCGATGCTGCCCGTCCTTTTCTTCACAGGGCAGACGGGGTCGCGATAAATGTGCCCTCGATGCTGCCCGTCCTTTTCTTCACAGGGCAGACGGGGTCGCGATAAATGTGCCCTCGATGCTGCCCGTCCTTTTCTTCACAGGGCAGACGGGGTCGCGATAAATGTGCCCTCGTTGCTGCCCGTCCTTTTCTTCACAGGGCAGACGGGGTCGCGATAAATGTGCCCTCGATGCTGCCCGTCCTTTTCTTCACAGGGCAGACGGGGTCGCGATAAATGTGCCCTCGATGCTGCCCGTCCTTTTCTTCACAGGGCAGACAGGGTCGCGATAAATGTGCCCTCGATGCTGCCCGTCCTTTTCTTCACAGGGCAGACGGGGTCGCGATAAATGTGCCCTCGATGCTGCCCGTCCTTTTCTTCACAGGGCAGACGGGGTCGCGATAAATGTGCCCTCGTTGCTGCCCGTCCTTTTCTTCACAGGGCAGACGGGGTCGCGATAAATGTGCCCTCGATGCTGCCCGTCCTTTTCTTCACAGGGCAGACGGGGTCGCGATAAATGTGCCCTCGATGCTGCCCGTCCTTTTCTTCACAGGGCAGACGGGGTCGCGATAAATGTGCCCTCGTTGCTGCCCGTCCTTTTCTTCACAGGGCAGACGGGGTCGCGATAAATGTGCCCTCGATGCTGCCCGTCCTTTTCTTCACAGGGCAGACGGGGTCGCGATAAATGTGCCCTCGATGCTGCCCGTCCTTTTCTTCACAGGGCAGACGGGGTCGCGATAAATGTGCCCTCGTTGCTGCCCGTCCTTTTCTTCACAGGGCAGACGGGGTCGCGATAAATGTGCCCTCGATGCTGCCCGTCCTTTTCTTCACAGGGCAGACGGGGTCGCGATAAATGTGCCCTCGTTGCTGCCCGTCCTTTTCTTCACAGGGCAGACGGGGTCGCGATAAATGTGCCCTCGATGCTGCCCGTCCTTTTCTTCACAGGGCAGACGGGGTCGCGATAAATGTGCCCTCGATGCTGCCCGTCCTTTTCTTCACAGGGCAGACGGGGTCGCGATAAATGTGCCCTCGTTGCTGCCCGTCCTTTTCTTCATAGGGCAGACGGGGTCGCGATAAAGGTGCCCTCGTTGCTGCCCGTCCTTTTCTTCACAGGGCAGACGGGGTCGCGATAAATGTGCCCTCGATGCTGCCCGTCCTTTTCTTCACAGGGCAGACGGGGTCGCGATAAATGTGCCCTCGATGCTGCCCGTCCTTTTCTTCACAGGGCAGACGGGGTCGCGATAAATGTGCCCTCGTTGCTGCCCGTCCTTTTCTTCACAGGGCAGACGGGGTCGCGATAAATGTGCCCTCGATGCTGCCCGTCCTTTTCTTCACAGGGCAGACGGGGTCGCGATAAATGTGCCCTCGTTGCTGCCCGTCCTTTTCTTCACAGGGCAGACGGGGTCGCGATAAATGTGCCCTCGTTGCTGCCCGTCCTTTTCTTCACAGGGCAGACGGGGTCGCGATAAATGTGCCCTCGTTGCTGCCCGTCCTTTTCTTCACAGGGCAGACGGGGTCGCGATAAATGTGCCCTCGTTGCTGCCCGTCCTTTTCTTCACAGGGCAGACGGGGTCGCGATAAATGTGCCCTCGTTGCTGCCCGTCCTTTTCTTCACAGGGCAGACGGGGTCGCGATAAATGTGCCCTCGATGCTGCCCGTCCTTTTCTTCACAGGGCAGACGGGGTCGCGATAAATGTGCCCTCGTTGCTGCCCGTCCTTTTCTTCACAGGGCAGACGGGGTCGCGATAAATGTGCCCTCGTTGCTGCCCGTCCTTTTCTTCACAGGGCAGACGGGGTCGCGATAAATGTGCCCTCGTTGCTGCCCGTCCTTTTCTTGACAGGGCAGACGGGGTCGCGATAAATGTGCCCTCGATGCTGCCCGTCCTTTTCTTCACAGGGCAGACGGGGTCGCGATAAATGTGCCCTCGATGCTGCCCGTCCTTTTCTTCACAGGGCAGACGGGGTCGCGATAAATGTGCCCTCGTTGCTGCCCGTCCTTTTCTTCACAGGGCAGACGGGGTCGCGATAAATGTGCCCTCGTTGCTGCCCGTCCTTTTCTTCACAGGGCAGACGGGGTCGCGATAAATGTGCCCTCGATGCTGCCCGTCCTTTTCTTCACCCTGGAGGCAGCTGGTCCAACTGAGGAATTATTGAAGGACAGCTTTATCTACGAGATGTATATGGTTAGGCTTTGTCAGAAGGAAGTTTACATGTTTTAGATCATTTCATGAAGAATTCAAATGAAAAGAATGAGTGTTTTATTATAAAATTGCCCTTAAAAACTCAACTTCTTTCTGATTCCTTTTTTTTTCTTTTGTTAGTTTACGGCTGTCATGACTAGAGTCACTCATGCCGGTGGTGTCGTGGCCAGGAATATTTTTCCGGAAGCGGCTGGGATGGGGGCTCGAATCCATGACTTGGAGAGGTGGCGGAGGGGAAGGGGGGGCAGGTGAAGTGAGTGAGTGAGTGAGTGAGTGAGTGAGTGAGTCTAGGCTAGAGCACTGCACGGGCCCGGGCCAGTCCAAAAGCCCGAGCCCGGCCCGCGGGCCGGGCTCGGGCCGGGTAGCACATATTTTCTCGGGCCCGGGCCGGGCTCGGGCTTCAACAAAAAAGTTCTCGGGCCGCGCCGGCCCGGGCCGGCCCGGGCCGTGCCTGGGCAGTTTTGTGCAGTAAATCATAAATTGTTGTTGATAGCAAGAAATTTGCTCATTAATCTTTTAGGTTCATTGAATACAAGAAAAGCGAAGTGCAAATTCACTACAGCGTCGTTAAAAATAATAACTAAACGACATCTTGAAGCTAGAAAGCCTTCAAGCTTTTTCCGTGTGAGCGAGGGTTGTGTTATAAATTGTAAACAAAATAAAGTCCCAGTCATATGCTTGTCAACCTGTCTGATTCATCGCTCTCAAAAATATCTAGCTCACTATTAGGAAGATTTAGAAAAATGTACGCAAGCGCTTTGGGTACCGTAAAATAAAATAGCGTTCCGATGTAAAACCTATGGCGATGCTAATTTTAGCTTGCCCAAAGTGCTTGAGTACGTTATTCTAAGACTCCCTTATTGCACAGAGCGCGACACTATATTAGCGCGAACGAGCGATTGTCGTGTTTTTATGCTTATCTCATAGAATCAAAACGCTGTTTTCAAAAATATTAATGTCTTTAGAAGTGCTCATCTGGGCCACAGACCTAACCGGTATACTTTGGTGCCTACTAAAACCATTTCGAAGTAAAATTCGAAAAAAGAGCCAGCGTCGTGTTCGCATAATCAGTGTCGCGCAGTGTACGTAGTCCGTTCCGCGCTTGCACGTTTTGGGAACCATCTTGAAAAAAACGTTTTAGGGGGTTAACTAGGAATATATTAAACTTAAGCTTGCCTGAAAGGGTTGTATATTTTAAGAACGCGTTGACATGTAAAGCTACTTCAGAACATATTCTTAAACAGATGGAGACTTTTTGCGAAGAGGTTGCGATGTGCAGAGCCTTATAAAAGTAGGTTGAAACGGGACGCATTCAAACGCAAAGGGTGTTTCGGAAACTGGTTCAAATAAGAAGGGCGTTTAGGGAATGGGTCGAAACAGGACAAATTCAAACGAGAAGGGCGTTTAGGGAACTGGTCGAAACAAGACGGGTTTATATGGGAAGGGTGTTTAAAGAATGGGTCGAAACAGGACGGGTTCAAATGGGGAGCTCGTTTCGGGAGCGGGTCGAAATAGGACGGGTTCAAACGGAAATGGGTTGTTTTGGGCTACAGCCATCGGGCCGGGTCGGGCGGGGCCTTGAAATTAACAATTCTGTTGGGCTCGGGCCAGGCCCGGGCCGTGTCTCTTTCGGGCCGGGTCGGGCTGGGCCTAGGAATTTAAAATTCTGTCGGGCTCGGGCCGGGCCCGGGCCGTGTCTCTACCGGGCCGGGTCGGGCCGGGCCTAGATATTCCGGCCCGTGCAGTACTCTGGTCTAGGCATATTTTGGGGCAATGTTTGCGATTGAGGGGTCTCAGTGTTCCTAAAGTGCTACCTCTTCTACCGACTCTGGTGCAGGACTGTGTCTGAGCGGCTCAGTAAAGAAGAGGCACTGCAGAGGGCAAGGCAGACGGGCAGTGACATCTTCCAGCCAAAGTGGCTTACCAAGATCTTTCAGGAGCAGTAAAGCCCCCAGCAAAGCTTGCTAGATATCAAGATGGCCCCGATTGGTCCTGGGTCACCATCAGAGTGCATCTTGCTGAAGTCTGCGGAACCGATACTGCCAGGCTGGTCCTAGTGCTGGTGGGTGTCAAGGCTACTTCTTGGACCATGTATAAAGGGGTTGTAGTGTAGATGATGGACAGTTGCCTGTTGCAACCTTCTGATAGACATTTTGTTTTAAAAATAAATTGTTCCAAGCAACTTCATACAAGTCGTCGATTGTTCTGAAAATGACAGTGAGGTCATCTCCTGTAACCCACCATGATTTCCCTCTAGTACTGTGCAATATCATTTTGTTTGTTAACTGACATGGTGTTTTCATTCTCTGATTTTCAAATTCTTGTGTAGGGAAAAAGTTCTTTGCTTCACTATATAATATTCATACATTCTTAAGACCAGTATTTACTTAGGGCAGTTTCACCTGGATATCCGGCTTGAACTCGCGTGAAAATCTGTACTATAGATTACTATTGCAGGGGCAACATTTTCCAACTAGGTCAAGTAGTTTTGCATCTTAATCGACTGCATCAGACGAAGTAGTCAGCAACATAATGAAGCATTGGTTGGTACTTCATTTTCGCACAGCCCTGCTGTTATTCGAAAATGAGATAAGCCAACGCATGAGTTGTCGAAAAAAAATGGCTTAGCAATGGTTGGTGCAGCCCTTCTCTGGTCTTGTTTCTGTCATCAGTGGAGCCATTTACCATGCTTCAGATGACTAGCTGCTTACACAAAAGACCATGCCAACGAAGAGTCGCTTCGATGCAAACCAATGCGGAAAAAATCTTGGAAAAGGTTCACCAGCATGGATGCAGACGGCTTGCCGGAACTAAAACAGGGCTTTTGGAATCCACCCTGGGAGACAGGTTTTGTTGTAGAAAGTATTCATATGCCGTGAAGTGCCTAACATACAAGTGAATGCACTCGCTGACAGTCGAGACTCGAGAACAACAATGTTAATAGCGTCATTCGCATACAGTTGAGATACACTGGCCATCCAGGAACACAGCTATTCATTGGCTACATTCTGTTGTCGAAACTATCAAACCAAGTACAGATATGCAATGTAGCAGGATGTAGCCGACTCTTTCGTCTGGCAACTTTCCTGCTTTCACAGTGCTACCACAAAGCAAGTCTGCTTTTCAAAATGATGCTTTGCTGTGCTTTTTTGAGGCATTGATTCTTCAGATAGATTTATGCTAGCTTCCTCTGTTTGTGCGAGTTGCCTCTAGTTTAGTTCAGCACCTTTCAATATTTGTACCTTGCCTCATGCTTTAGCAAGCACTCGAAATTTGGGGATGTGTACCATTATTTTTTTATGCTGATCAATAAAATCTTCATCCATCAGCTAGGATTGTTGGTTCACTTCTGGAAAATTCTTAATACTGGTAAAATTATATTGTTTAAATTCTTAAATGAAGTTACACCGGTGTTCCCGGCTTTGTAAGGCAAAATTACTTGCTCTGTTGCTTGATGTAGGTATATTGCAGGACTTGTCTTTTATTGGTTGCCATTGGTAGCTGTCATCACACATAAGAACAGTATTTTTTTTTTTTTTTTTTTTGCCGGGATGTTTACATTCCCTTTTCCGAAGGAAAAAACATTATAATTCAAACAAATCGGGTGGCATCTCTTGAGTCTTGTAAAGTGAAGTGGGCTGAGGTGCCCGGGATGTCCATAATTTAGATGGGGGGCTGAAGCCTTATAAGCCCTTTCCCTGGCTACACCACTGACACCACAGGACGATTGCTCAAACCTACTGGGGAGACGGGGCAATCAGGTTGTTGAATAATGTTTCATCAACTGATTGTTTCGTTGACATGCGACGTTTCATTGACAGATTGTTTCTTCGACATGTGTCGTTTCATCAAAAGGCTTATCGCATGTGTTTCATTGAAACACCCTGTGACATTTTGTCGAGTACTGACTGGTGCCCAACGTGGGGTCCGCATCTAGTCTGAAAAGAAGCTACAGTATGCCTTAAAAAAACACAAACCTAGGGAATTTTTTTTAAATATATAAATAGGACAGCAAAGTCTCAAAATAAATGTTCGTAGAAAAAAAAAATTTTTTTTTTTTTACCCAATATTTATGACAATACGAATTTTTCGATATGCGGGCGAAACCGAAACTTGCAAAATCGTGTCGAGGGCCGTCCGACGTCCTTCCCTGTCTTCGCTTTCCAACGCTTGATTTGCAGGTACTAAGCAGCCCTATTTCTCACAGTGGAAGATAACACAGAAAGGGTACGCAGCATGCATCAGAAAAAATAAGTGGAAGCTTTCAAAAGAGGCCATGAAACATTGAATGCAAAACCGCGAAACAGAGAATCACGCAGAGCGGACTTCAACAGTCGAAGAGAGTGGCAGAAAATTTTCTAGCTGATAGGGGGCGCGAGAATCGCACCAGCCGCTCTGACCAGCCGTATCACTATGCATCACCATCAGCATGACCATCAGCAACATGGCAATGGCCTAGGAGCAAGGAGGATAGAAGGGTAGGAGAGGGCATGACGTCAGCCGCGTGGCCTCCACAAGCCATGCTCCCTTGATGCCTCGTCTTTTTCTCATTTTCCTCCTCTCCTCACGTATCAGCCTAACATGACCACATCACGTGACCGTAGCTAGCCTTCGATGTGATAAAACCTACCGGACGGAGCGCGCGCAAGCCTGCAAGGAACCCTTAAACCTGTACTTCTACAATCAACCATCCATTTTGCACGTGACATGTCACGCGCACCAATCGCCAGAGAGATCTGCGGTCACGTTGGGCGCAATATCGTTTAAACTTTTTAGGACTAGGCTTCACCAATATTGCAACGTGCACCCTCCTCAAGGAGGTTAGTGCCCCTCCTAGTAGGAGCGTTTACTGGAAAGACGAGGGAAAGGAAGGTCGGTGAGGAGGAAGCAGACGGAACGCTGAAGAGGAAAGGGGAAACCTTTTCCTCTCTCCAGTGTTCCGTCTGCTTCCTCCTCGCCAATCAGGGTACAAACGCTATCATCATCATCCCACAGTGGTCGTTTCGGTTTCGCCCGCAAATCGAAAAATTCGTAAATAACAACTATGGGGCAGAAAATAAAATTTTGTTTCCGATTAAATTTATTTTTGAGACATGCCTGTCTTAACTTGGAAAAAAAAAAATCATAAAGTGCGAGGGCGACGCCTTCTATGGTGCTTCCGATGCGCGAGGGTTGAAAGAACTCAGTTTCGGCCTCAAGTACAGCGGGAAACAACCATTCGTACTTCATTCGCTTCGTGGCACTACAACGCAGGCATCGATCGCGCGTCGTCCCCTCCCTCCCCCTTCATTTTTCTTTTTCTGTGCTTCGCATTTATCAATATGTTATGCAATCTGGCCAGTCGTGTAAAGTATCTGGGTGATTCGTCATTGATTAACTGAAATCCCTGGAGCAAGTCGTCACCACACTGCCCCATTTTTTTTTTTTTTTTTTATTCCTCTTAGTGTTTTTTTTTTAGTTTGGTCTTTATGTATTTTGACAACCAAGGAGGAAACGGGAATGCAGCGTGCAGCAGAGGCGCAGCGCTGTGCTGGGAAAAATCTCTTCTGTTAAAAAAATATTAAAATAGGGAAAAAAAAAACAAAAAAAAAACAGGACAGGGTGTGTTATATAAAAAGAAAAACACAAATGTCTAAAAAAACTTCATTTTTTCTTACACTGCGAAAACAAGCTATGCACTGCCGAAGGCCTGCTGCAGACTAGAGTTCCTGTATAGGCTCCCTAATAGGTAGCATATACAGGAACTCTACTGCAGACTTCACCAGAGCACCCACTAGCGGTTGAGACAGTTGGTCCTGAGACAGCGGTTGAGACGGGTTAGTTGGGAACAGATGTTAAAGTTTCAGAACTGCGCAAATCTGATTAAAAAAATGATAACTTATGAGCGATTTTCCAAAATTTTCGATGAAAAAATGGGGCCCGTTTTTGGTAGCAGATGCCATTTTTTTATTTAAAAAACCCAAAAAACCGCTCGATTGCCAAAACCCTAGGGTTTGAAACTTGAGCATCTTATCTTAACCGCTACATCCAGGCGGATAATTATTTCTACGGTGCAAAATTGTTACGGTTCACTTTTCTGCAGTATGTTACAGCTCAGGAAGGTAAGGCTAGAGAAAGAGGCCGAGAAGGAAGCAGACGGAACGCTGGAGAGGAGGAGGATCTTTCCCCCTCTCCTCTCCAGCGTTCCGTCCGCTTCCTCCTCCCCGGTCTTCCTTTCCCTCGCCCTACCTTCTTAAAACCGATATTATTATTATTATTATTTTTTTATTAGTGTACTCCTTGGGTATGTTGCCGTGATTCCGTAAAATAGTTTCTTGCGAGAGCCCTTTGAACGGCTGGAGTCATTTATATTTCAGCGCGTCGCGTAATCCCTTTGAATTTGTCAGCAGCGTGCAACGCATGTGCAACCAGGGCATCGTTGAACGACGAGGAGGCTATCATCAAGCGTGGAATAAGTCGCAAACATGGAACAAGCTGCGGCTCACTGATCTCTGTGTCATCAGTGCTGCGGCTAATCAGACCGTGAAGCCGTAAAACGCGGTCTTTCATTCTTGGGTGACGTCACACAATCGCACTTCTTAGCTTTGCTCGCGCTAGGTGCAGAACTGGAGAATGGCAAAAATTAACGTAGATTTTAATTTTGACGAGGCACTTATAGAATCACCGAAGTGTTTGAGCAGCAGTAGGCGATTGCGAGAGCTAATGACGTTGCTCATCTGTCGGAGATCTTGGAACCAGCATAACTTCAGCTCGGCTGGTTCTTCGGCAATCGCATCAACGCACCAACGACATAACAGCGCAACAAAAAAAAAAAAAAAAAAAAAAAATTGCTCAACAGTTTTTTTTTTTTTTTTTTTTTTTTTTTGTAAGAACACTTTTTCGACCACTGATCTCGTTCGTGACACCGGCCGTTTCGGGTGTTGACATAGGCGGGGTTGACACATAGAGTTATTATAATGTACGCTGTGGGTTGACACCTTCCAAAGCCGCCTTTGCACCTTCATTGGAAAAAGAGGGGGAAAAAAAAAAAAAGCTTGGCGTACTTTGACATTTTTTTGTTGCTTCTTTGGCCTAGATTTTTATTTGTGGGCAGAAAAATGCGCTACTTAATTCTAAAAAAATACTTTTTTTTTTTTTGGTTCTGCCTTTTCATTTTTAGTAGTAGTAGTAAACCTCCAGTACTTGACGTGTCTGTCTTGTCTCCCCAGTTTAGACGTGCTCTCGAAACTTCCAAGGTGTGCCGCCGTGAAAAATATTCTTATTCAGCGCCAAAATACTACGAGCTCACACAAAAATAAATACTGCGCTGGCACGCGAGTGTCGGCGTTGCAGGGGATGAAGGATGGGAGTAAAAACACCTGTGACCACCCGAGCAGTTTATCCGGTTCATCCGCTCTGGGCGACCACGCGGGGTTTCTGGGGGGAGCCGTCACCGCTTGTCGCGTTGTCCAGCCGGCTGCAGCCATCAGACGGAGCGGCACCAAGTTTTCAAGTCGAGTTGGTTGAGTTGCTCGCGTAGCGGTGGTAGCGGCGACGGCAGTGACGGCAAAGCGAGTGGGCGCCAGAGCGCAGGCGCGTAGGCGCCCCAAGCAAGGCCGGCCGCCATACGTCTAGCGGAGTGCCATCGCGGCGTGGCACCCAATCAGAGACGGGCTTTCAACCGTGTACTCAAGGGCGTACCCACTGCAGCGGTTGCGGCGGAATGCACGGGGCCCACAAAATCATATTCCCCAAGACGGTGCCTAACATCAAAATGATCCCGTACGCCGCCGCCCTGGCGTTTCTGCTCGTCTACGTCTCGTCCGACAGCGTGGAAGCCTACGTTGAAGTAAGTAACTCGGACGTCCATGTTTTCCTCCCCCGCTGTTCGGCGGCGAACCTCAATCTGCGGCGGTCGATCGAATTCGACGGGCTCTTTTATCAGCGCCGATCGCCCGCCTGCAATCTCAGTACCTCGCAGTTGCGATAAAACCCCGTTTCTCTCATCAGTGTGACGTTTCCTGATTCCCAGCTAGTGACGGGGTTGTGTCTGACGCTGACAGCCGACGTTAGGGCAAACGAATCAGCCATCGCCGCCGATGGCCCAAATCCGCTCTGATATCACGCAGCTCGCGTGCTCGGGCAGCTGCGACAGGCTACGCTCCATCTGAGTTTTGGAGTCCGAACTCAAGCGCGCTGGCGGCAGCATCGCGTAAACCTTCGAGAAAGTTCGCATTGAATCGAAAAAATAAAAACGAAACGGGATCGTACGATTGTACGCTGGCTGTATATGACGTCCCTTAACAACTGGGGCTTCGATGAACGCTTTGCTCGGCCTGCTCTACGCCTTTGGGCGAGCGCAGATATTCGCCAGGCTCAGTGTGCTTGCTTGTTGTTATCTAACGTCCTGGGTTCGTGCCCGCACCGGGTTTGGACACTAACCAAAAGACCTACCCCTTCCGTTCTCATGCTCGACACCACATGGTCGAGCCCGCGTTTGAGCTACTCACTGTTTTTTTAATTACAGATTTCTCTCCTTTTAGCCACTCCTTTTTTGTTTTTCCTGTTTTTGTTCTACATGGGATAGATGCGAGGTCAGGGAACGAACTCTTTAGGCCTTAACTTTTTTTTTTTTTTTTGTATGTGTGTGTGCTGTAAATTTTTAAACGAAATGTTGATTGTTTTGCGAGATCCTCGGACTTCAGTGGAACGGGCGAAACCTCGCTAAACGAACGGGTTCTTGACGGCTCGACTCGGCGACGTCATACCGCGGAGAAACCCATCGGATTCGATCGGATGGCGTGCTCCACTGTCTGACGCGCGCGGTGCCCGTGCCACCCCGCACGCGCATCGAAGCACGCGCGGCACGCATCCTTTGTACGAAAGCCGAATAGTTTGTTCGCATCGTGGTGGCTTTTTATGCACGCTAGACAAACGTCCGAAGTTTATAACGCATTTCAGGGTCGCCTGGAAAGAAGAAAAGGGGTCAGAGAACATTGCGGGCAAGCCTCTCGTGAACGCCCGCGCCCGAGGGAGGGGTGTTCGAATTTTTGCAGCTGTTCGTGTGCTTAGGCGAACAAACAACCGAGTCTTTGCTGACAGCGCGGAAACAAATATGGTGCCCCTGGTGATTGTTGTTACTGCTGACCAGTTAAAGAAGTAAACCTGTCTTGATGTTCTGGATGGGAACCAATATTCAGTGGGGTAAAACTGGCTGGGCGGGCTTTCGTTTTGTGAAAGGGGGTGGGGAAAATTTGTGCATCCGCTGATGTGGCCATCAGCGGGGTCGGTGAATAGGCCATTTGCTATATGCCCAAGCGCCCGGCCTACACTTGAGGAATCATAAGAATGGTGTTCCTTCAGCTCTCTAGTGATCGCTAATTTTCGACCAATTCCATGGTTACACAGTTTTTGAACGTAATTCCAAGTCACCCTGAACAAGTGCCTCCCCAGGACCTGTCATATCCCTTTTCAAATTTCTCGTCAATTTCAGCATTTTTGACACTGTGCATGCGATCCACCTTTCAACCTGGCTGAGCTGCAGAAATCTATTATCATTGTTTTTTTGTTTGTTGTTTTCTACAAACACCTTATCTTGGATTTGGTCATGTTCGTCGTTAATTTCGGCCAAGTTCTTCGTTAATTTCGGTTGTAGTGAATGAGCAGTGTACAGAATTGTGAAAAACAGATAAACTCACATGTTTACTGCTCAACGATTTATTTTCGTGGACACCAACTTTCTAATAATTTAGCAGGCTTGAAAAGGCTCCCATAGTGACGCAGATAATTTATACACCAACTCAACTCTCCTACGTCACGCCGCGGTGGTGGCGCGCCGGACGCACTTCCGGTCTCGGGCGGTGGGCAGAAGTCGCCGTGCCAGACATGCATTCCTGTGTTCCTTTGGAAGAAACGAGACAAAAAACCTGCCTTCTCGTCAAAATGCTGCGATGGAGGCTTTACCAAGAGAGCCTGGGAAGGTTTGAAGATTAGTTTTCATGTGTTTTTGCACCCTCCGTTCGTCCGAGAACGTGGATAGCAGCCGTGAAAAGGGCAAACCTGACGCTGTCGAACTACAATTGCGTGTGCGGGCCACAATTTGTAGTCGCCAGATGTATTTGCTTTGTTCCAACATGACCGAGAGAAAACCCCCAAGTTGTCCGGACCACCCACGGATTCAGTGCGTCTTCAAATTCACACGGCCGCCTGATCGTTCGAACTTTCGTCTGCTCTTTCAAAGTTGTCTGCTTTTTGTCGTCTGCTCGTTCAAACAAAAGCGGCCCATAGACCAAACTTTGACCCGGTGATTGCAATAAGAAGTAATTGCAGGCCTCAAAAGACTTACGTAGGCTCGGTGTAAACAGTAGATACAAGATGTTAATTATTGGTACCGGTGGCCATCACCTACTTGTTACGCTTTGTCTGTTCCCGCTTCCGATTTTCAGTATCGATGTCGATCATCGCTGCTACCTTTTACACTTTTGCTGCACGAGCGACGTCGCGACCGAAAATAGCTACAAGAATCTCATCATGGTTTTGGCGTCCATTCTGCAGCGTTCATGCGAATGAATCGCCGCACGTCAAATTATTTACGGAAAGTTTAGCGGCGTAACGAGACTTGATAATTTCGCTCAGGCGATTGAAGTGGTAAGACATTGCGATGAGGACGTAGAATCGACAACTCCAACGCGAAAAAGAGTATGCAGACTCACACAGACGCCGACAACGTGACATTCGAATGGTTTGTTGACGCGGGACGCGGTGCTTCTTGCCCGTACTCCATTGCGCGTGCGTTCGAACTGTCGTCTGCTCTTTCAAACTTGGCTGCTTTTTGTCGTTAGTTCGTTCAAACGACAGCAGCTCGTAAACAAAACGCTCACCCGGTAATTGCGATAAGAACTAAGTGCAGGCCTCAAAACACTTTTGAAGGTTGGTTGGGGTAAGTCGGCTAAGTGTAAACAGATACAAGAAGTTGTTGATCATTGTTACCAGTGGCCATCACCGACTTGTAATGCCCGATTCTACTTGAGGTTTTCAGTATCGATGTCCACCATCTCAGCTACGGTCCACGCTTTTGCAGTCCGAGCGACGTCGCGACTGAAAATAGCGAGCAGAATCTCGACGTGGGAGTCAGGCTTTAGCGCCCATTCTGCGGCGTCCACGTAAAATGAATCGCCACACGTCACATTATGCACGCAAAGTTTTGCCTCAATAGTTTTGCTGAAGCCGCTCAAGTAGTCAGACATTGTTAGGAGGACGTAGAATCAACAATTCCAACGCGAAGAAGAGCACGGGGACTCCCACCGACGCCGACAACAACGCAATTCAATGGTCTGTTTATGGGCGACGGCGGGCTTCTTGCCCACCATCCACGGCGCATGCGCGGCGCCGGTGACGTCCGCTAGGGGCGCTCCGGTTTGTTTGTAAACATGAGTTGGTGTATATATAAAAAAAAAGTGATATTGTCTTGCCTTGTTTTTTTTTTTTAAAGAAATTAAGTATCCAAGAAATATTTTGATAGTTCATCTTAGGCCGTGGAGGAAACCGGCCCTCCTATAGGCCCTTGTAAAGTATTCATTAACAGCAATTCACAGTGCTCGCTAAGTAGGAAATAAATTATTTGTTATACATACCTTTGCTTACGGCATGCTCAGGATATAAGATAAGTGGCAGGCCCGTCAACTGAAGTCTGACATTTATCTTCTATGAAAATCGCCAAATGGAATTAAATGGCACAAGAAGAGTCACCTCCAGCATATGCCAGCCACAACTTCATGGACCTGTTTAGAATTTTTATTTATTTACTTGGACTGATACACTTTGTACATTTCGGCATCACCAGCCACCGAAAGTAAATCCCTATCTGGCATCGACAACAACGCTTAACTCAAGTGATTTCCATACTGACGGCCTTTTTGGCCCCAGGTGTTCTCAATTTGTCTGATAGTCTCTTTCACCCGGAAAGTCCCAACTTTTCTGTTCAGTTTAATTGCTTTAATTAAATTTTGATATACAAAAAAAAAAAAATTAAAGCCCTTGAATGATTGTAGACATGTGACCGAGCAGTGGGTGTGGCCTCTAAATTTATATTACAGGGGAGCTGTTAGCGAGGACACAAAAATCAAGTTGCAAGTTGGGCACTATAGACCATTTTATCATGGGTAGTGCCATTTTGAGAGCGACAGAGAAGGGGGAAAGGGCTACAGACTCTTTCCTCCTTGCTGGTACGTTAAGAAGAGGGAAAGTCCCGGATGACAGGCTTCACCGGTGTTAATGTATGCATTGTCCGTACTTCGTTCGCGCTTTCTTCTCTGTTTTCAACTCCGAAACTTAATTAGAGCCACGGGCTTGGATTGTGGCAGTCCCCCGATCATCGGGACAGCATTGCTCGTTTATAGGGTGCACGAATAACGACATAATGTGTTGAATACTGTCCGAGGACCTGTGTAGCTTGCAGTGAATCTGTCAATAGGAGTGCGGCTGCAATATCTTTAAAGTAACACTGACAGGGTATTTATACACGCCAAGGTTTTTATTTGTACATGACATATGAGAGCCCAACTACCCAGAGCACAATTTTCTGCTCGAAATTTGTTTTCTTTCCACCCGAAAACCACTTATCCAGAACTGGCCGTTTTGAGTCGTGCTCACTCTCTACTCCGTGGTCACAAGCCGTTTTCTATGGTTTAGCCACAACCACCAAGTCGTGGGTCATCAAAGACACACACTCAATACTAAAAATAGACTGAAAATAAGACACCCATTTTTCGTGGCTTCTAAATATAGTTGAAATGTGTTGATTGAAAAAAAAAGCTGCACAGCAACCTTACTTCCGGTAACTTTCTCCTC